GACGAGCAGGCAGCGGCTCGGCCTAATCGCAAAGCAGTGGCGAAGCGTCCTGGCTCGCCTATAGCCCTACCAAACAATGTTCTGAGAACCTCTTGTGGCTGGCGGAGCCTGTCTTGTTGTATCACATCGGGCTTATGTTCTAAGGACCTTGTTTCTGTTTTTAGAACATTTTTGGATTCTAAGAACATTTCGTGGTAGGACTATTAGGAATGCCGGGACGGTCGGTCCCTGCTCAATAATCGGAAAAGTGAATAGGGGTGGTATCGCCCATGGGTGGTATTAGACCGTTTTTTTCAAAGCATGTGTTCAAGTTTTTGGTATCATGTTGTTATTAGATCGTTTGAGCGGCCTGCGAATGCAAGAGGAAGACGAGGAGGAGGAGGAGGAGGAGGAGGTGGAGGAGAGGAGCAAGGAGGAAGAGGTGGACGAGCAGGCGGCGGCTCGACCTGAGCTTAGGTCGGGCCTGTCCCTCTACAGGGGGAATATGCAAAAACAGTCAACAAAAATAGTCAGAGGACGATGTGTTGACTATTTTTGACAATTTCTGTGCATTCTTTACAATGTCTGTTTTTTCGTCCAAAATCCCCCTTTAGGAGGACAGGCCCGTCTAAAAATAAACCTAAGCGACCATTTCAGGGCTCATGTCGATGCCGCCGATTCGATTTCGATTCGACTTCGACAGATATCCGATGCCGGTTCGATTCGATTTCGGACTCCGATTTGGGTTCCGATTTCTCATTGGACTGCTCGTCTGCCGATGTCTGCCGAGCCGGCTTTCCCGAGCAGGCAGGGCTGGGCCCCAGCGACCGTTCTCGCGCCGTGCTCTCTGAGGGAACTCGGGGGTGGACAGAACGCCCCCCCTGACACGTCGATTCGTGAATCGTCCGCCTTCGGTTCTCGACCTCGGGGGCGAGCAGGCAGGGCTCCACCCAAGCGACCGTTTTCGCGTTGTGCTCGCTAAGGGAAGAAGGGGTTGGGCAGAACCCCCCACCCCGACACGTCGATTCGAGAGTGCGCCGCGGCCGTCATTTTCCAGGCTTGCGCCCGCCAGGTTTGGGCCCGATGTCGCTTTCACTGAACCGCATTGTGCTAGAGGGGTGGACGACCAGGCAGGGCTCGACCTAAACGACCGTTTTCGCGTCGTGTTCTCCAGGGGAACAGACAATGACATTGGCACAACAGCACGGAGGTCCGCGCGGATTTCTCGGATCGGCGTCGGGGCCTCCTCGGCGGCGCCTCTGGCGCCGCCCCTGGCGAGCTCCGCGCGCCAGAGAGAGGGGTCCAGCGCCGATCCAGGAGGCTGCGCGGGCCTCTGGGCTTCTGTGCTTACAGTCGGGGCCCTGAAGAAGGAACCCTTTTCGTTGGGGAGGGGCTCCGCGTTCCTTAAGTGTTTCACAGCTTGCCTCAGGTTTTCCTGAGGTGTTTGATGGGGAATCGAAGTTTAACTTATGGAAAAAAAGGGGCCTCCTTCCTTATGTATCGTTCCTTAGGTCAACGCCCCGACGGTATGCCGCTGTTTCTGCCCCGATGCTTTTTGCAGCGGAGGCGGGTCGCGTTCGCCTGGGCAGTTTCGTGGACCGCGCGCCGCGGGCGCCCAGGGGCCAGCTGGCGACCTCGTAGACGGTTGTCGTTTTGAGATGTCGTTTTGCAGCGAAGGTGGAACGATGGCCAGACGAGGGATAACGACGACGACCACGAAAACGTATACAACATCGAACAACGAACACGAAGACAACAGCGGAAATCGAAGGGAACGAGGACAACACGAAGACAACGATGAAACACGAAGAGAACGAGGACGACAACAACACCAACAGAAGCAACAACAACAGCAACAGCAGCAACAACAAAAACAATAAACATGTTCATACTGTTCGCTCTTACCTGCCCACGTACCCCGTATCACGTATATCCCAATCACGTGCATGTCGTGCAGCCCCTAAGGCAGGGGACGGGAGGACGGATGGAAGGAAGGGACAAGGGGGAGGGAGGAGGATAGAGTACGAGAGAGTAGCAGGAGGGTGCTAGGAGAACACCTGGCAGAACCAGACGGGCAGATCGGGCGGGTAGACCCTCACGGGCGGGTCGGGAAGGCGGGCCCCAGACGGCCGGGTTGCTGAAGCGTGCGTCCTGCATGAATCGCGAGGAAGCCTCGGGCGATATCACGATTCTCCAATACATCGTGAGCAAATCCACAAGTAGGGCGTGGCTCCTGAGTGTCGAGGGCGCGGCGCGGCGTCTGAACACATTGGAAGGAAGTCCCACGCGAGAGCGCGATTCCTGCATACATTGAGGAAGTCCCGCGCGAGAGCGCGACTTGGGTCGTGAGGGAGTGTCAGGCGGGAGCCGTTGAATTCTCACTTCTTAAGAATAATTATTGTTGATCCCCCTCGCCGGTGCATATTATTGAATCGCTTCGCTCATTCCGCCGGCCCGTGATATGGCATCGCTGGATTTTGTCTGTGTGTTCGTTGCCCATGTTGCGCTCTTGGGGGCGGGTGTCGTTCGGACGCGTTGCGTGGGGAGTTTTGATGGTGAAGCAATTCCCTGGGGGTCGTCTCTCGATGGGGCGAAATAGAGTCGTCGTCAAGATGCTTCTTTGGGGGGCCTCTTGGGGTCTGTTGAGAGGCCGTTCGGGGGCGCCTGGGAGACATGTTTGAAGCCTTCTGGGGCTTCTTTTGGGCCTCCTGGGAGTCTCCTGGGGCCTCTTGGCGACATCTTGGGGCCTCTTGGAGGCCTCTTGGGGCCTCTTTGGGACCTCCTGGGCGCCTTCTGGGACGGAGGGCTCCATTTTTGAGTTCTCGGTATCCCTCCTGAGTCCCTCTTGGGCCCGTCTTGGGGTTATTGTTGATCCCCCCTCGCCGGTGCAAATTATTTTTTCTCAGTCAGAGTGTGCCCCTCGACGCTCGCACCCTGTTTTTTGTCAGGGGAAGTCTTGGTGGTCAACCTGTGCTCCTGGCCCCCCGGACTACAACAACAACGGCTCCCGCTTGAGACTTCCTCCAAGACGCCCCCCTCCTGTTTGAGATTTCCTCCCAATGTACTCAGGAACGGCGCTCCCGCTTGAGATTTCCTCACAATCTAGTCCGGGTCAAACTGCTTCGTTGCTCCCCTGGACTACAACAACGGCTCCCGCCTGAGATTCCCTTACAATTTATTGAAGAATCGCGCTCTCGCTTTGGACTTCCTGGCAATTTACCACCGAACCGCGGCTCCCGCCTGAAACTCTTGACAATGCATTATCGAATCGTATTATAGAATTGCGTTATCGCTTGGGACTTTCTCGCAACATACCACCGAACCGCTTCGCTTGATATTTTCTCACAGTGTATCCAGATGCCAGTCCTCGACACTCAGGAATCGCGCCCCCGCTACATATTGCCTCGTGGTTCAAGCAGGATTCACGCTTCAACGACCCGCCCGCTCGACCCGCCCGTCGGGGCCTGCCTGCCCGACCAATCCGTTAACGACTGCAGTCGCCGCTCGCTGCCCTTCGCCCGCCTTCGATGCCCCTCGCTGCCCGTACTGGTTCCGCGGTCGCCTTCGCTCGCTGCCCTTCGTGGCCCCGTTGCTGCCCTCAGTGGCCCCGTCGCTGTTTTTTGTGGCCCCGCATTATATGCCCTTCGTGGCCCCCGCTCGCTCGCGCCCGTCGTGGCCCCATACGCATGCCCTTCGTAGCCCCGCTGTCGCCTTCGTGGCCCCGCTGTCGCCCTTTGTGGCCCCCTCGCTGCCCTTCGTGGCCCTGGTGCTGCCCTCAGCGGCCCCGTCGCTGCCCTCTGCGGCCTCGGATTTTATGCCCTTCGTGGTCCGCGCTGGCTTTTCTCACGATTTACTTGGGAATCGCGTTATCGCTCAAGACTTCCACGCGATTCAAGCAGGACCCACGCGTCAGCAACCCGCCTGCTCGACCTCGTCGCTTGGGCCCGCCTTCCCGACCTGCCCGCTATGGGTCTGCCCACCCGATCTGCCCGTTTGGTTCTACCACTTGCTCTCTGCTCCTTGCCCCCCTCCTGCTGATTTGTCTCGTGCTCCATGCTTCCCACTCCCCCTTTTCACCCGTCTTCTCTTCCCTTGTTTAAGGGGCTGCATTAAATACACGTGGCAGGTAAGGAAGATATACCCCCAAGGGGGTACGATCGAAGACGACGAGGGCGGGTACCGAGGGTTTTTGGGATTTACGTATTGATTGGCACGTGAGCAGATAGGAGCGAACAGTCTTGTTTGTGTTGGTGTTGGTGTTGTTGTTATTGGACGTTTGCTGTCTTACTGGTGCTGTAAACCAGTGGCCAGGGGCGCAGTTTGGTGACACTTCGTTTTGCTTCATGAAAAAAGGGTGCGAGCCCTTGGGGAAAAGCGTTTTAATTGAAAAATAGATTGGTTACCTGCCAGGGGGGTCAACACGGTTCATTCTTTAGGAGTGAACAGCAGCGAAAGCAACACCACCACCACCAACAACAACAACAACAGCAGCAATCGGTTTGATATTGTTCGCTCTTACTTGCGTGCGTGCCACTCCACATGTGTTTCCCAAGCGCTGGATACGAACCCGCCCTCCTCGTCTTCGATCATGCCCCCTTTAGGGGGGATATCTTTCTCCCTTGCCACGTGTAATTGGCGCAGCCTTTTTGAACAGACTGTGCAGAAGTACAGGAGAGGGAGAGCGAGGAAGAGGGGAGTAAGGGAAGGGAGGTGGGAAGGGTGCATTGGGGAGAGAGGGGGAGGACGGAGGACGACGCCCCTAAACAGGAACACCCTTACGCGGGAGGGAGCCACCAAAGGCAGCAAAGGGGCCAGGAAGGACAGCGAGAGGGCCACGAAGAGCTACATCGAGGCCACGAAGGTCAGCAAGGGGACCACGAAAGGCGACTGCCTGGCCACAAACGGCATCGATGGGGTTCACAGAGTGGGGCCACGAAGGGCATCGAGGAGGCCACGAGGGCAGCGGCGGGGCCTTCAATCCGACTGCGGCATCGCGAATCGCGAGGGGCAGCGAGGGGCAG